AGAAACATGCTTTTGACCCTGTGCATGGTGGGTATCGTGAAGCTTTTGCAGCTGATTGGAGCCATTTGGAAGATATGCGGCTTTCGCCAAAAGATCTGAATACACCCAAATCGCTTAATACACACCTTCATATAATGGAAGCGTATGTACAACTGTATCAAGTTTGGCATGATTCAGGTTTAGTAAAAAAGATCAAAGATTTAATAGACATTTTTCTTCTGCACTTTATAGATCGGAAAGCAGGCCATGTCCATATGTTTTTTGATGATGATTGGCAAGTGATACCGGCGCCTTGGTCTTATGGTCACGATATTGAGACCTCATGGTTATTGTATGAAGCAGCAGAACATGTACAGTATCGCCTAGACGAAGTGAGAGACGTTGCCATATTACTTGCTGAAGGTGTATTGCCCGTAGTGGATGCGGAAGGTGGTGTCACCTACGAAAGTCACCTGAATCAAAAACATTGGTGGGTACAAGCAGAAGCTATGGTGGGATTTATGAATGCTTACCAATTGACAGATGATGAGAAGTATCTAGATGCTGTGTATCGTATTTGGGATTATACCAAAAAATATATCAAAGATACAGAAAATGGAGAGTGGTTTTGGGGAAGGAATGAAGATGGAACAGTCATGGATCATGAAGATAAAATAGGTTTTTGGAAGTGCCCATATCATAATGTCAGGGCTTGTATGCAGATGTCAGAAAGATTAAAAACGATTATCAATCAATAACAACATATATATGAAGTTTTATCTTGGGTCAATATTTATTTTTTGCTTGATTTGGAGCATAGGTTGTTTGCCTTTGAGTGCACAAAACAAAGTATCTAAAATTTCAGTGCTAGGCAATCAATTTGTCAAAGAAGATGGAAGCAAATACATTTTCAGAGGACTCAACACAAGCGACCCTGAACGCTTGGATACGATGGGCAGATGGAATGAAGTGTATTTTGATGAAATGAAAAAATGGGGAGCTAATGTCGTGAGATTTCCAGTGCATCCCACAGCTTGGCGCAGACGTGGCGAGATGAAATATTTACAACTTCTAGATAAAGGTGTGAAGTGGGCAGCCGAACGAGGTATGTATGTCATCATGGATTGGCACAGTATCGGCAATCTGAAAAACGAAATGTATCAACACGAAAGATATGAAACAACCAAAAAAGAAACCTTTGAATTTTGGCGTACTATTGCCAAACATTACAAAGATAATCCTACGGTTGCCTTCTACGAATTATTCAACGAACCTACTCTTTATAATGGAGAATTGGGCACTTGCTCATGGGCAGAATGGAAGACATTAAATGAAGAAATGATCACCATCATCAGAGCAAATGGTGGCAAAGGTATTCCACTAGTAGCAGGTTTTAATTGGGCTTACGACCTTACTGAAATAGCCGAAAATCCCATCAATGCAACAGGAATCGCATATGTATCTCATCCTTACCCAATGAAAAGAGAAAAACCTTGGGAAGAAAAATGGACACAAGATTGGGGCTTTGTCAAAGAAAAATACCCATTAATATTGACTGAAATTGGTTTTTGTGGTCCCGAAGATCCTGGCGCGCATATACCCGTGATCAGTGACGAATCTTATGGCGATGCCATCACCAAATATTGTGATCAAAAAGATATCTCTTGGGTCGTATGGGTATTTGATCCTATGTGGGCACCAGCCTTGTACACTGATTGGGATTTTACACCTACAAGACACGGCGTATATTTCAAAAAAGCACTGAATGATAGGAAAGGGAAGTAAGATTTGATTGAGACGCTAATTGTCACGAATTTCACGAATTCTCACACTTATTGAAAATAAGAATTTTATCTTTGGCAGAGTTTTTTAGTAAAGAAAATATTAAGTAGGCTTGCGAAAGGGTAAAGTGAAAGCTATAAGTACATTTTGATAATCCAAAATTCAATAAACCAAATGAAGTTATTAACCACCATTCTAGCCCTGTTTTTATGTAGCCATATTTTTGCAGCATTGACGATAGAGAAGTTGTATTCGGACCACGCTGTTTTGCAAAGAAACAAACCAATCGTCATTCGTGGTACAGCAGATGCAGGCAATATGGTTTCCCTTCAGTTTGATAAATTCAATACCACTACTTTGCCCAATATTTCTGGTCAGTGGGTAGCTACTTTTCCTGCGATGGCAGCCGGTGGGCCTTATCAATTGACCATAGCACTCCTTTGATAGGATAATGAATGATCGGCGCTATCATTGCATTGTAGATGATGGTACCCGCATTATTGCTCAGACGTGCGTAGGTATGCGGCTCTGCAAAGGATGGCATCAGTTTCCATTTATTATCGTTAAGAGATACTTTGATATCTCCAGATTGGATATAAAGATCATCTCCCGAACCCATCAATCCTAAGCCAAAGCGGAGATCATCAATGATAAAGTGAGTATTTCGCATCCATCCGTCAATAAACCTGTTGCAGTCAGATATTCGTGGTCAGATGCACCCACGGATGCCAACTTGTTCAATAGTGAAGATCTGCCTGCTGTCCCTTTCAGAACGGATGATTGGACAGGCGTATCGGTAAATGGAAAGTTTGAGTAGATGGTTTTGTTTCTAATATCCTCAAATATAAAAAAATAATTATGCGGTTTTTAATGTTGTTGTCACTATTTGCACTTTCTTTTTCAGGTTTTAGCCAAGACGCTTACCACACTAATTTGGTAAATTATCTAAGAGACAATCACAACTTGGTCAACCCGAAATATGTGCTCAACAACACCGAACAAACCAATATTTCTAGTTTTAATATTTATGGAAATGCAAGCGTTTCATCTTCAACTACATCGGGAAATGTTTTTTCATTGTCTTCAAAAATTAATGTAAGTTCTGTTGGTAATAATGTGTGGGATGCTGGCTATACGACATCTAGCAAAACGAGTGTCGCACAGGGAGATGTCCTTTTATATACGTTTTGGGCCAAAAAGAATAGTGTACAATCAGAGATCGTCATTTTTTCTGAAGACAATGTGACTTATGCCAAAGAACTGTACCCAACTTTAAAATTGACAGATGAATGGAAAAGATATTTTTTACCATTCAAAGTCACTAAAGCTTACGCCGCTGGAAAAATGAATATCGGAATACATCTAGCTTCTCAAGTTCAGAATTTTGATATAGCAGGATTGACCCTGCTTAACTATGGAAGTACCTACAATATTTTGCAATTTCCATCTTCATTAGGTG